AAATTCCCAAAGAAAACTAATATTTTTCAAAACATGTTTTTCAAAATTCCACCAACAAATATCCCATACGAACATGTGGTCCTCAACTTTTCGATCTTTAAATAATTGAATCAAATAATAGTGTCACCAATTTCAATCCTTGCTCTTTTCTCCTTCTGAATAAAATTGTAGGCATCCCTCTTAGAGAATCCGACATTCTCACATCCACCAACTTCCTCTGCAAGGTAGGCATATGCATCAACGGTTCTAATCCCTGCATCTGTCATCGATTTTAGGACGGAAGCTTTTTTCTCAATGATATTCCTACATGATCTTAAAAGGTGTCGGTCGGCTGGGCTAGCTAATTCATGGTTGTGGGATTCAATAAATCTTTTGACATGCCAGTAACCATCTTCATCTGTGATAAACCTCACCATGGCTGGACAACCAGTTCTGACAACTGGTCTAGTGAATCTCTTTCTCTTTCCTGAATTATGATAATCACTTTTCTTGAAACTAGCTTTTGAACAAAAAAAGTCCTTCGAATTTGGCCAAAAACTGTGATGATCCTTTCGAACACTAAAGCCATTATCGTGAGCATAAGTGCAAAAACATTCATATGCTTCTGTCTCATCTTTATAAACAGCCTGAAAGCGCAAGTAAAGCGCAAGTAAAGCGCAACTAAAGTGCAACTAAAGCACATCTAAAGCGCAACTAAAGCGCAACTACAATGAAACTAGATATCAAACAAGTTCAATTTTTTTATTTATCATCTTCATCCTAAGCAACAACAACATTAGATTTTTTTACTTTTTTGACAAAAGAAATTTAGTCGCAAAATCAAAGATCCTAAGACTAATGAACTGAACCTACGTCTTCTTTCTGCGGCGATGATATTAAAACTGACTGTTTACAACTTTCTAACTTGGTTTTTTAAAAAACTTACCGATATGTTGAAACCAGAGGAATTTTCGGCTAAGTTAGGTTCTGATTCCGATTCATGCACCAGCCCTTCCGATTCATGCATCCTTTCCGATTCATGCCCTCCCTCTTCCATGCCCTCTTCCACCTCCCTCTTCGCTGAGCAATCCATTTCTTCTCTGCAATTTTCTGGCTCATTTTTTCTTCTGCAGCAGTAGATATTTGCGTCTTTTGCGGGTATCAAAATGCAAAAATAGGGCGGCAAATGCTTAAAAGTTCAAATGAAATGCATTATCGGGTCGGGTCGCTAACTCTGACAAGACATAAAGCAAACATATTAAATTAAAAAAATGCCTAACAGATGTCGCATTTTTATTGGCGACCGAACGAAGAGATGGCTTCGGTCACCTGACCCAATAATTTGCCGATCGAATGGGAGGGGAAGAGGCCGTTCGCGAATGACTAGTGGGGAAGACGTCACGTGTGAACCGTCCTATCCAAGAACTTTTATTTTATCCTTCACTACGCAGAGGAACGTTCGGTTTTAGGCAAAAAAGCGCTTGTACCGAGTTTTTTGAAAAAACTCGGTACACCTCGGTACTCGGTACTCGGTACAGGCGCTTTTTGCCTAAAACTGAACGTTCCTCTACGTACGTTCACTGGATATAATAAAAGTTCCATGTCCAAACCCCTATTTGATCGTGTGAGTAGATGCCTAAACCTCCCCACTCGAATTTAACATCATATCCTTTATAATAAATAGATGCTATTAAATGTTACATTTCAAGAGATATTGGAAGGTTGATTTTAATAAAAATGGTGAATTATGTTAACAAATTTTATTTAAACTTAAATATATAATAATTTGATTTGATCAATTCAACTCAATTAACATTGATTTAATTTTAAAGGGCTCGAGATGAGTTAGTTTGGATTTAATCATGGTTGTCATTGTTAAATTAAATTTGTACCGAGTCAATTTTATTCAGAGTAGTGATGATTTAAGTCGATTTAGGACATTGAGTCAATGTTATGTCAATAAGTATCCACCTAAGAGAAATCCTAAAAGTGACGTCTACAGTAGGTTGCAAAAACCTAGGCACTAAATATTAACTCAGTGAAATCAACCTCAAATAATAAGGTTAACATAGGACTCCGGGGAGTGGACGTAGGTCAATGTTTCACCGAACCACTATAAATCTCTCGTGTGTTTGTTCTGATTTCTATTTTTTGCATTTAGTTTTTGGATTTTAATTCCATTATAACTGCTTGGTGAAAATTCTGAAATCTTTGCTTAAATATTTCGTTAAATTCATTTCACTTCCGCCCTTAGTAATTATTGCTACTTATTTTTCAAATATTAAAAAAAAAATATTGTCTTTGTTATTAAATTTAATAATTAGTTTTTAAATTTTCCAATTCAACCCCCCCCCCCCCCCCCCCCTCTCTTGGTTGGCCATGGCCAGTTCAGTAAGGCTTAACATCATTATCAAATTTTCAATTTGAAGCAGAGGCTGTTGAGATCAATATACGAAATGTAAACCATTAAAGATCTAAAGGAAAAACATGTAAGAAAAGTTTTAGCAATTATATTTGATGGAGAAAGAGAATAGAATCAATGGCTATCTTCCAGAGAACCGAACCATTTCCAGATTGGTTTGAACTGTGGAGTTAATCTTAAAAAAGTGAAAAAATGTAAAACATGTTGAGAACCAAAATAATTATAGAAAGGAACATGATTAAAGAAACATTTTAGAAGTTCAAAACATCAAAACAATTGAAGAATGAAATGTGCGAGTGGCCTAAATGCCAGAAAAAAAATGTTAAAGAAGTTTAGGATACCAAAAAATTAGGAGAGAGAAACCTATCGGAGAAGACGGGTGAGTGAAGAAAGCTAGGGCAAGCCGAAGAGTCAAGAAGGAAGGAAGACAAAGGAAATCCCGAATCCTTTTAAAAAACATGTGATATTAAGTAACGATAAATTCGAGGGAGGGAAAATGAAGCGGGTCTTTGAGAAGAATAATAATTTATTTAGTTGAGGAAGAAAATTTAAGCTGTATTAATTTGAATAATTATTTTATGAGGTGTAAGTAAAGGGTATTAATTTTCATAATTATTAAATATTTTTAGATTTATTAATTATTTATAATACAATATAGGGACAAGATAATTTTAGAAGAAATAAAATGAATGAATAAGATTTGATATGAAATGAAATTCAAGTGGATTTTATATTAATAGTATAGATATGACCACTGATTTAAAGTTTAGTGTTTATTTAGACAAAATTGTATAATTAGTGTATCATTCCTTCAAAAATATTATTAAATTTAAAAAAAAAAAATACATTTGGATTCATTATATATTTTATTATTTATAAGGAAAATGAGACATACAAATACGTATGGGCTTATGCTTACTTGGAATGAGCTATCAGCTAATAACCTAATGCACACTCAATCATTCTAAATATATGTATGATAAGGTTAGCTCTATCCGAAGATATCAAAAGAATAAATTAGAATCTAAATCAATGAATCGAGATAAGTAATTTGACATTATGTTTAAGTGATGCTAATGAGAAGACTCACTAAACCTATAAATTTTATCGTATTAAGATTACCTAGCTAATTTTTCTAACCACCTTCTAAGGAAAATTATAACATCCCCCCATACGAAATGGGGACCCTACTACCTTACCAATTGGAGGCATAAAAATCCTAGGCTCTAGCATAGATAGTAGAAGTAAAACAAGCAGGTATGTATATATGGATAGGTAAAGGGGTTGGAATCTATAGTACCCAATTCTATATCATCCTAAAACTAATATACATATTCCTAAAAAGTTTGGAACTTCCACACAGAGGAAAATCTAAGAAAACTTGTTACCACCTAATGTAAGCTACCACCCATATGAATGTGATGTATGAAATGATGTAAATGACAAAGAAGACTGCATAAATAAAAGAAATTTTTTTAATTTATTGATTTAAATGTATACAACATACTCAAACTCTGTCAGAAAGTAAGCTGGCCAAACTCGACCACAACAAACTTGTATTTCTAAGCTTACCATATTTATAAAACTAAATACATCTACTTAAGGTCTTTGAGTTCCATGTCTTTTATGAAATTCCAAAAGAGTGTATCCTCCATGGGAAAGTATATCATCTTTTGGAGCTCAATTTGTATGTATAGGCAAGTAGATATGGTTATTTTAGAACTTAGGATATTGTATAACTCGATCTATATATAAACTACATTTATAAAAACTTGTACATATATACAACAATTCATAGGTACATTATATTTTGGCTTTTGTAGGAATGTAAAGATATATTTAAGAAGCATATAAAGTGCATGAAAAGATGTATAATATCCTAATACTTCTAAAAGTTTCTAAGTGCGTTGATAGAAATTAAAGTGTATGACAACCAGATTGCCCAAAATAAATAAATATATATAAGGTGCTCTCTAAGCAAAGCACCCGACAAGCAATCCACACCATCAAACAATCTAAAGCTAAAATGGTTTTCCTAACAAACCATCCAAGTGATTGAAAGAGGTCATGTGATTTTGACATATCCTATAGGAGTTTAATGTCATGAATCTAGGAGTTTGTTTATTAAAGGTCAAAAGGGAACTTTAGTTAAAGTTTACCTTACATGTAATTAAATTTTATTATTTCAATTTTAATGGTTGGAATTGTTTATTTAATTATAAAGAATTTGTAGATTAACAACCCCAAAGTGTGCGGGCTACTGATCTAAAGATCCTAAGGCTTATAAATGTACTGCAGTCATCCCCCATATAGGATAGATAATCACATGAAGCCTTTGAGAGATTTATTTATGATTTATTAAGAGATAGAAGAGGGGCCTTTCAAATCAATACACACACCCTCCAAATTGAATCAAGCATGATGTATAGGGTAGATGGTTTATTAAAGTTTGATTAAGGGTTATAAATTTTATACAATCATGCTTTCCATAAGTGGGGGCAAGCATAGTGCATAAAAACACTTAATTTGTTATTAAGATTTACTAAATCTCCTAATCAAGTATGTGAATGCCTTCATAAAAGGAATCAAGCATCATATAAGGAGATTATGTGCCTGATTTAATGTTTATTAAAGACTTTAAACTTAATGCTAAATGGCCTACAAATGGAATCAAGCATTAAGCATGAAGCTTAACTATTTAGTTTATCATATTTATTTATTTAAAATAAATCTTAATCAAATAAATTATCAATTTATTTTGTTCTAACATTTTAATTTTTTTATTATTTTTATTAAATTATTTAGATTTTTAATTAATTATTAATGTTTTATGAATTTTAATGAATTATTAATAATATTTAATATTTATTTTCATTTAATTTAATAATTAATTTCAAATACTAATTTTTTTAAATTATTTAAAAAATAATTTTTAATGCATTAAAATTTGATAATTCTTATCTAATTCATTTTAAATCAAATTTTTGGGTATAATTCCTAGTATTTTTCATAAAATTAGGTATTTTATTTTAAAATTATTTTTAAATATCAAAACTTAATTTTATTTAATTAATTATTCATTATTTAATTAATTCACTATTTTATTATTATTTAAATAGTTAAAATCCTAATTATTTTGAAAACTCCATCGACGACCAATGAATCTCCCTTATATTCATGTATTTTTATCGATTGAATTAATTTTAATTATATTATTTTTTAAAGCATGCATATTTATCATATGTATTATAAATTTAAATTCCAAAGAGTTGTGAAAGTAGATTAAAATTGGATGTTTAACATCCAATTTGAAACTTAAAGAGAAAGGAAACATCCCTTAGGGGAGAATTCCTTTTATTTTGGAGTTTAAATTAGGATTGCTATGAAAACCAAAGAGAAAAAACATCCCTTCGGGTAGGAGTTCTTTCCATCTGGATATCCAAATATAGTAGTTCCAAGGAGCCCAAACAAGTAGTTGAAGAAGTGAAGACAAATCATATCATTTTAAAAATACATATATTATTTTATAGGATTAAAATTAAGGTTATTCTCAGTGGAGCCATGCCATTTTAATTTATACAAACTCTGAGTTTTAAATTAAGAGGCATTTTCTATATGGACTTTAAATATTTAATTTGATTGATGATGTGTTTACATTTTTTGTGCCTTAA